GAAAATAGAATTGGTTTCTGTATTGCATAATTTACAATTCCAGGAAGAATGAGACCCAAGTATAAAAAACCAAAATTTACATCTATATGACAGAAATGATACCTTCATACAAGAGATACAAATGTCAATCATTAATTGTCAATAAATGTGAACTATGTTCAAATGCAAAACTTAAGCATTGCTAAACAGATCATATACAAGAATTGAGAAGAAGCTTCAAAATCTTTGTAGGAAAATTACATTATCTCCTAATTGCATTATCTCTTAATCCACAAACTTTTTGGAGATCTCCAACATAAGACAGAAATGGTTTGAAATGTTTATATGAAATATAATTAATTAATACCTTGTACAAAATATATATGAAAGTATTACAAAAGGATAAAAAGAAAACTTAAAATAACCCAAAGGAAAAGAAGACAAAGAATGTAAGACTACAACTGAAATAAAATAAATATTGAATTCTCATAAATCCATTTTAAAAATAACTGACAAGACAAAATATACTTTCTCGCATTTTAGGAGGTCAGAAGTCGAAATCTGGGAAGTCGGCTCTAGAGAACAGTTTTCCTCTCTGTTGGTTTGGGATAGTCCTTACATCATTTGAGCTTTCTACTTCTCCATAATCTCTTGTGGTTTATGTCATATCTCTGTTCCCTTCTCTCTGCTTGCTTATTTAGTTTCTTTTTTTATATCCCCAAAGAAACTGACTAAATTTACTCAATTTAACATAGCTAATACCATCCGTCACCAATGCGATTATAACCAGAGGTCAAGAGGATAGGATTTACTTACACATATTAGGGTGGGAAGGAATAAAATTGAGTTAATAACATCCATTAAGAACAGAATGAATAATATGTGCACCTTGCATATTTATAAATTGACATTGGAACTAGCAGTGGTTATTTCTACTACATGCATCAGCATTGCCAAATCAGTGCTTAATGTGGAGTAGAATACATTTCAGAAGAAAACAAGGATTCTATTTAGGTCAACTTGCAAGTCATGAAAAAATATGCTACAGTTATATACCAAGTAAATGATGCAAACTTTCACACGGAAACAAGCAAACCAAAGAACGCATCACCATTGCGTCAATTTCCACTCGTAGTGCTACTAGAGGAAAGGGCCGACCTGCCCAGCTGAGTGGTGTAGACATTTTTTGAAATATGTATGGGCGTAGAAAGCCCCATCGTGTTCCCACTGGACAGCTAATGGTTGAAACTGCTGACTTTATGATTATCAGCCCATCATCACACACCCTCTACACCAACAAAGCTCTTTCAAAGATTCAATGGGTAAGAAATAAATGCATAATAGAGAGTCTACTTCAAGAAGTGGAAAGATGAATAAAATTCAGCAAGGATAATTCAACAATTACTATCATACCATCAATTTCTAAAATAAATATATAAAAATGTAGTATGATGTGAATATTTCATAATGATTATTTGTCTTTATTATATTTTTGAGTCTTGTTTTATGTTGAAACAAGTTCAGAATAAACATTAACAGAAACTAACCAGTGAAACATAGAAATGTATTATTAGAAAAATAACTGCTTGATCACAAATGGAAAAGAACTTAATTTCTAAGTGCAGAGGCAGTAAATCATTTAATATGGCTGTTTTAGCCAGTCTCTAATTCACACCAAATGATTCTTGTGTGCTTAGGTCTGGTAAGAAGGTTGGGGAAGATAACCAGTAGAATTCACCTGAGAGCAATTTCTAATAGGATTCCATGAAGTGCCGTCCCGGTGGTATAAAATGAGCCCTCTGAGAAGCAGAAAGGGGATTTTACTACTAGCAAGAGCCAGGAGTGGAGAGTGTCCTCCAGACCCAAGATTCCTGCGCAGTGAGCATCTTGGACATAGATGACAGCAATATCGTCAGAGAACCACAGAAGACCCAGGGGCCAGAGCATGGAACAGAGTGATAGACTTCCCAACTCACAGAGCAAGTTGAATGCTTTTGTGTAGGAGGCTGACTTGCAGCGTGGGATGCCTCCGGACACTTAATTCAGAGAGCTGGGTTTGCTGACACTTGAAACTTGAGATTAATGCCTCTGGTTGAGGCTTACACCACAGTGGTCTGCTCCTTTGGGCATTTATTAACAGACTTGCAATGTTGTGATATGTCATGGTAAAGAACCGCCCCCTGGGGATTTCTCACTGGCATTACCACTTGTTAATATCCTTAATAAACCCTTTCATCATGAATGTTGTTGTCTGTGTCTGTGTAGCCATTGCAATGGCCATTAGAACCCAAAGAAGTAAAATAAGAGACCATTAAGACACTACACTAAGAGCAAAGAAATAAATGTTAATATTAAATTTAAATAATTGAATAATATATCAAAACATTTTTTAAATTAAAAACTGTAGTAAAATATCATTTACTGCCACCAAGTCAATTCTAACTCTTCAGAATCCTGGTAACAACATGAGTTATAATATGAGAGGTTAACTGACACTCCCAGGGAGAAAGATGAGGCTTTCTACTTCCATAAAGATTTCTGGTTTTGAAAACCCACAGGGCCAGTTCTATTGGCCTTTAGGGTGATAGTAAAATAAAGAGAAGTTATCAAACATTTTATACCATGCATATAGAAGAACATATTTATTGATGTCTTTGAGAAAGAGTCTTAAAAAAATGAATTAGAAAAAACAACAGATAAAGACTTTAAAGTTTTTCAAGGCAAAGGAATTTAAAAGAAAATCACTTACACAAAAACAATCCCTAATGAAAGAGGGGTAAGAAAGATCACATACTGCACAGCTGCATATTGGTTTTAACATAAAATAAACCTCAAGGAAATTTGACATTCCTATGAGAATCCTGACTGAGAAAAATGCTAGTGGATCAGTAATACTATTTGAAAAATATTTCTTAGAGTCAGTCTTCGAAGAAACCACAAGATCACTGCTGTGTGACTTGTATAAAGGAGAGGGAAAATAAGTTCTTAAAAAGAGTTTGGACATCATTAAGCACTGAAAAACTGTATTGCTGCTGCATACAGTTAACAACAGTTGTGGTAAAGTGCTTTCAGGCTCACGGCGACCCAATGTGTGTCAGAGAAGAATGTGCACTGTAGGGTTTTCAATGGCTGACTTTTCCGAAGTCAATTGTCAAGGCTTTCTTTGAAGGAGCCCCTGAATATACTTGAGCCACAGACATATTGGCTAATTGGCCAGCGTGAAACTTAGCACTGCCTTGGGCTCCATGTCATTGACATAACGTGGTTTTCTCACTTTCATATTTGGTATGAGGATTTGTACTATGGGTACAATCATCAGGGTTTATTGAATTTATAGAGCAAAATCAATAAATTCTGGTCTCAGAATTTCCAAGAAGTAGTTTATGTTGTTTTTGCTGCTGCTGCTGGTGTGTGTGTGTGTGTGTGTGTGTGTGTGTGTGTGTGTGTTCACTGCATGAGCTGGCACTATAAAGTCCAGTAAATAGTTTGACATATTCTTCCAAGTTCCTTATATGAAGAAAGAAAACAAAAGAACACAAAACCAAAAACACCCAGTGACAGAAAGTAATTTGAAAAGTAAAAAGGTTGATTCATTGAACAAGTAATAAAGCTACAACATGCCCTCATGTCCAAAATGCCTACCTTTACTTAGCAAATAATTTCTGTTGGATAATTCTCCTGATTGCTGCTTTGACATCTCTGTTCCTCAGGCTATAGATCAAAGGATTCAACATAGGACTCACAAAGATGTAAAACACAGCAACAATTTTCCCCTGTTCTACAGAGGCCTCAGAAGGGGGCCTCAGATACATGCAGAACAGAGTCCCATAAAAGACCGTGACAGCTGTAAGATGGGACCCACAGGTGGAGAAGGCTTTGCGCCTCCCTTCAGCAGAACGGATTCTCAGGATGGCAGCAAAGATGAAAACATAGGAGATGAGGATAATGGTGAGAGAGCAGGTGAGGTTAGATCCAGCCACCACAAACATGGCCGTCTCTTTGACATAGGTATCTGAGCAGGCGAGGACTAAGAGTGGTGGGTCTGCACAGTAGAAGTGGTTGATCTCATTGGGTCCACAGAAGGTCAGACGCAGCATCAATATGGTCTGTGCCAAGCCATTTGCAAAGCCATAGATGTAAGAAGCAGCGACCAGAGAAGTGCAGACACACTTGGACATTTTGCTGCCATATAACAAGGGTTTGCAGATGGCCATGTAGCGGTCATAAGCCATCACTGTAAGCATATAATAATCTGTGATCACCAGGGCAATGAAAAAGTGGAATTGTATAAAGCAACCAATAAAAGAAATAGTTTTTCTCTTTGATAAGAAATTCACCAGCATCTGTGGAGTGACATTAGTGGCGTAACAGAGATCTACAAAGGAGAGGTGACTGAGGAAAAAGTACATTGGCGTGTGCAATTTTGAGTCACTTCTTATTACAAATATCATGGTCATATTGCCAATCATGGTGATACCGTAAATCACCAGGAATACCACAAAGAGGACAGGCTGCAGCTCAGCTCTGTCTGTCAGTCCCAGGAGAATAAATTCAGTCACCTCCGTGTAGTTTTTCCTTAACATCGTGTTTTCTTGGCTTCTATGAGGGCTAAAGAAAATGAAATTTAAAAATGCTTTTAGATATTTATATATTCATTGCTCCCAAAATTTGGCCTTTTCTCTTCTCTCAAGGTGTAATTATATATGCCATAAAGAAATATCCTCATTCACATGTGATGGATATTTACATTGTATGCATACATTTTATATAAACTTATACATTTATATAAATATAAAGTCCCATCTGTATTACAACACATGTACACAATGGGAGGGTGTCAAAAAGTCCATTGAAAAACCTCAGTATCTCCTAATTCCATTCTCCCCCAAATTTTTGAACCTCTTCCCCTTGTTTAGGCAGTCATATTTTTAGACGGTAGCTTTCACAATTCTTTATTATATTTCTACTTATAATTTTCTTGTATATATTAGTATAAACATTTCCTTCTTTGAAATGATAATATCGTGCATTTATAGGACACTTTTTGATGTAGCATCTAAAATATGTCATTGACAGTCATATGTATCAGGCATAGATGAATTAACTTGGGAATAAATGGAATTGACACCTGGTGTGTGGCCTTATTTGTCAACAACCTCTTTTACTGTTCCTCCAATTCCAAGATAACATTCAAGCTGCTCACTCACTCTTCAATTTATATCCATTTTCTCCTTTTTAATCAACCTCAATTGGCTGTCATATTACCAAAATATCTTATCACTAGAAATTTGATTTTAGGCTCTTATATTTTGTTTATTTTGGTCTAAGGGTGTGAATGTTGGTACTTGAAGGATGAAAGTAAATCTTACTGTTTTACATATAAAGTTCATATATACATAAAATTCAATTAAAATATATACTTCACAAATCACAGCTTAAATACTTAGGGGAGGAACATTAGAAAAAAATAACGTGTAAAATTTTCTCTAAGGGGCCTGGTAATAATGAGAAAAATATAGAGAATTTGTTGCCCTAATTGTGATAATGTTGTTATTATTGTGTCTTAAACTACCTGTTTGCTAAATTAATGAAAACATAATAACATGAACATAAGTTATTTAAAACATGTAAAGATCTGAGAGCTAAATAATGTACACATTACCTACAAAGTTGACACAGTATTTATGATGTCACAAAGTGTATCTGTCAATATTTGGGAAGAATCAAAATGAACATCATGCAAAACTGTCTATTCTCCTTGAAGGATAGATACCCAGGTGTGGCAGGATTGAAGCATCTCTTCTACAATGCCAAGGATGGCATGCTTTTAACATAAGGTACTTCATATCTGAGAACTAGCCATCAAGGATGGGAATGCCGGATCCTCCTTGAGTTCCTATTGGGTTGCTATGAATTGAATGGGACTCCACGGCCCTGAGTGTGGCTGGGTTTCTAGTTCCTGTCAGGCTGTAGACACACTATTCAGCTCTCTGTTCTTTGCTGTTCTTCTTCTTTTGTGTTTTAAATCATTTTATTGGGGGCTCGTACAACTCATATCACTGTTCTTCTCCATAAAGTTTGGCTAATAGTAGCAATTATCTTAATGTGTGGGAGTTAATTCAGGTACCTCTTTTAAAATACACACTTTCTAATTTGCAGCTAATGTGGTTATCGGGTGAAATAAGAGCCAGGTCTAGTCTAGAATAAAAACCAACATTCAATGGAATCTCTTTTGTTGTAGCTCAGACAATAATTTTATCTAACCTATAGCCACAGCTACAATGGTAACACTGCTTTCCCAATGGTAGCTTTTCAGCAAGAGAATTCCCTTTCCATTGTGTAACATTTATTCCACTGACGAATCATAACTAGCAATACCATGAAAAGAGCTGTAGAATAACTACTAGATATTTTGGTAGGGGTATTTGCTAATTCATTAGAAAAAAGAGTTTTATCCCATCATTTTTACTTTTACAGATTAAAAGACATATTTCTAGATTAGAAATTCAAAAAACAATCTAATAATACCTGAGAAAGGAGCATGATTTCCCAGTCAGAGAATAGGTATGAAGATTTTATAGTGGAAGTGTCACATAGGGACCAAATCTCCAAGGTACAATTATTGCTGGCAGAAAATCTTTCTCATGGCAAACAACTATTATTTTTAATTTTTCTGATGATTTTAACCTTAAGGAAGACATAACTTTTGCTCACTCCCCAATATCACTAGGGAATCAAGTCTCCTAAGAATCAAGAAGCATTAGGATTCATTATGTAATTTTTATTTACACTTGAATACCTTGATATTTTTTAACTTGACGAAATACTAAGTTCTTTTGTTTGCAATATGTAGGAAAGAAAGCTGTGTGGTTTAAGAAGAATATTTTTAATCTGAAAGGATCATTGGAAGATCTGTAAATCGTGGGAGAACATGGCCTCCCTATTTATTAATTCTGAGCCTCATACATTACTCTTTTAATGGAAATAAGGCTACAAAGATCTGAGAATGTGTGGATTTATAGATAATATAGGTGTGTGGTGATTGTTTCTTTGTCAGCTCTATCCTCAGTCCAAAAGTTCTGCTTTCATGTGGAGTTGAACCCTTCTGAACTGAACCAATAGGAGTATTTTAGTGTCTAGATTTCAGCTGAGTTTGGCCATTAGAACATCAGAGGTAGTAAGAAGAGAAAAATAGTTATTTCTTTTTCATATTCTCTCTCTGTTTCAACTGCCCTTGCTTAGGGATAGGAATTAGCTTCTGCAATTAGCTTCAAGGAGTTTTGACTCCTGGGGTTGGCTTCCTTATCCTTAATCTGCTTTCTCTTTCTTGGCATTTTAAATTTATCCTTAGGAAAGCATATGACAGAGTCCCGGTGGCATAATTGTCTACATGTTGGATTTCTAACCTTAAGGTCACCGGTTCAAAACTAGCAGCCACTCTGTGGAAGAAAGATAAGGTTTTCTACTCCTATCAAAGAATAGTCTTGGAAACCCACAAGGGCACTTCTACTCTGCCCTGTAGGGTTGCCATGAATCGGGATTGACTCAATGGTAATGTGTTTGAGAAAGAAAGCATCGGAGTGGTATTTTGTTTCATGTCAGGTCCCAAGCCCAGACCAGGGTGACTTACAGTAGTGTAAAGAAAAGTGACTTAGGGAGAGGGAGTGGCATCTGTCCTCCTCCAGTTACACAAGGGGAAAGGAAATTCAAATTCCAAGGCAGATTTCTGTAAGGCTGAGGTTAGACAAAACTCTAGCCCCATCTTCTTACCAATTTTAAGATTAACCATTTCTCTTAGAACACTTTCAACATTTCAATTGGGCTCATCAATTCATTGCAATGGCCACACAGATCTCATATTACTCATGATTATGGGGTTTCTTAAGGAAGTTAATAAGTTACAAATGTTTGGGATGCAAATTTTCAGACCAGGACAGCCTCTTCTCAGTCATGTCCATGGGCAGGCCTCTCTCTGATCCTTGACCAATAGGCCTCTGCCCTGCTAATGTAATGTTACAAAGCCTTTAGGGCTGCCAATAATGCCCAAAGGAAATGTCACTTAGCTGTCATCCTTGGTCTGAAGGTTCTCAGCTGTAGATCCCTGGGTCAGCAGATCTATCTCCTTAATTAAGTGCCTGGAGATACTGCACACCTCAAGCCCAAAGGCACCCAGCTTTACCTGTTCACTGGGCTGGGAAGACCACCAGTCTGTCTCCTGGTTCTATTGCTGCCACTTCTCTGGTGTCAACATGGTTATCTGGTTCAAAGGGGTTAAATGGGCTGGAGTCCTGGGGTCCAAAACATGCGCTCCACTCCTGACTCTTCTTTCTTACCAGCAGTAGTAACTCTGTCTTCCTGCTGTGGTGATGGCTCATTTCATATCCCGAACGTTAGCAATCACAATTAACTCTGTACAGTGACTCACTCACAATCATGTACTCTCATCAGTATCTTCTCTTACCCTAACCCAGCAGTTATCAACCTGTGGGTAGTGACCCTTTTGGGGGTGGAACAAACCTTTTACAGGGGTCGCCTAAGACCATTGGAAAACACATATTTCCGATGGTCTTAGGAACCCAGACACCGCTGCTCTATCTGTCTCCAGACAGGTCCTCCCATATGCAGATCCGCCCACATCTGAGTACCTGGTGTGAAGACAGTTACCCATGCTACACCATGCTTCCAGAAAAAATGTCATTTATTTGTCATTAGAAATAAATATTTCACAATATATAGTTACATATTGTCTTGTGATTAATCACCATGCTTTAATTATGTTCAATATGTAACAATGAAGATACATCCTGCATATCAGATTATTTACATTGCAATTCATAAGAGTAGCAAAATTACAGTTATGAAGTAGCAATGAAAATAATGTTATGGTTGGGAGTCACCACCACATGAGGAATTGAATTAAAGGGTTGCTGCATTAGGAAGGTTGAGAACCACTGCCCTAACCCATCAGTAAAAGTTCATTTGGTGGGAGATACAAAGTCTATGACTAGCAGATCTGCATGAAATAATTCACTCCAACACATTTAATTTTTCAATAAATGTGGCAATGGTGGTCATCTCAATAACAGTTTTGAGGATGGTACTACCAGGTGGTGGGAATCTGTATTCAGGGTGAGTCCATATTCTTGCCTAGAAAGAGATTATGGTCTAGTGGTAGATATAGAAGTATTCATGTGTGATTCCGTCCTTGGCGGAGATAAGGGCAGAGTAATTAGGCAGTATGGGGGAAAGAGCCCATTCACTTGTGAAGGCAGAGAGCTTCTTTTGAGCTCTCTTGCATCTGAGTCATTAATGCCTCAAACAGCTTAAGTTTTAGCAAGAGAAAGAATAAGAACTGACCAGAGGAACAATGAGGAAATACTGAAATTATTGTGTGGGAATTTAGGAAGAAAATGACGCTATGGTTATAAGTAAAGGAATCATAAAAACCTATAATCACAGAAGTAACAGCTCTGCATATGGAGAAAGTGATTCAATTCCTGCCTTGCTATGTAATAGCTGTGTGGTGAGCTACCTGTTCTCCCGCAAGGGATTCCAACTTATTCATGCCAGTAGAACTGTGCGA